TTCCAGAGGAACTCAGCAGCTCATTCCCTTCCAGGGGAGCTGTGCCCAGGGCAGGCAGGGACTCCACAGGGTGCTGCCAGCCCTGGCAGTGCCCAGGCTGCAGTGCCACAGGAGTCAGCACTGCCTGGTGTCTGTGTCCAGCCAGCCCCCAAAGCCTGGGATCAATCATGTCCAGTGCCCCCCAAAGCCTGGGATCAATCATGTCCAGTGCCCCCCAAAGCCTGGGATCAATCATGTCCTGTGCCCCCAAAGCCTGGGATCAATCATGTTCTGTGCCCCCAAACCCGGGAATCAATCAGCACTGCCTTGCTCCCTGATGGACAACTCCTTGCCTTGCCCACCCATGGACAATTCCTTGCCTTGCCCACCCATGGACAATTCCTTGCCTTGCTCCCTGATGGACAATTCCTTGCCTTACCCATTGATGGACAGTTCCTTCCCTTGCACTGCCACGAGCAGTTTCCCAGCCTTGCATTCCCTCCAGAGCAGAGGGGCCCTGTTTGTCACTCCCAGGAAACAATTCTGAGCGTTCCAAACCCATCTCCCTGCACATCACAGCAGAAATTGATACAGCCACGTCAGGCTCAGCTCTGTTCATCCCTGCTACAAACACCTTCCAGCAAAACAAGTGTCAGTTCACAGCCAGGCTGATGTTTTCCAGCTTTGTTTTTAACACACTGCATCCTTTCATGCTGCTTGTTGCTTTGTATTCCCGGGAGGACAAATCAAAGCAGCAGGGCTGCAGGAGCTGGAGCAGCAGTGCTGGGGCAGAGATGGAAAACACCCTGGAGCAGAGGAGCACTGGCTGCACCAGCACAGGCGCCAAGCACCCCTGGCTGCAGCATTTTCAAAGCTTTTCTGGACCAAAGTTTAAAATCTGCTTAAAGAATCGGAGTGGCCAGTTGCTTTCTATTGGACTTGGATGACAGAGTTATTTGTGTGCCTTTGCGGAGAGCAATTCCTGAGATTATTTCCATTATTACATGGAAAAAAAATAGAATCTGAGCTCCTAATTATCTTTTGTGCCACTTTTTATAAAAGTTTTATTTAAAAAACTGATTTCTGCTGAGATTTAGGTGTCTTCCATCTCTCTCTTTCTCATCTCCTTCCTTTATCAATTTCACCTTCACAGAGCTGCCCTTCCCTGTCTCCTCTTTCATTTGCAGTAATGTTTGAGTGGCCCCTTTGTCCCATTCCCCCAGTGCAGCCCTTGGATGCTCGGGGTCATCCCGGGGTTCGTGGGGAGCTTCAGCCTCCCATCCCCTGTGCCCGAGCTGGGAGTTGGCATAATGGCCCTGATTCAAATACAATAAAAACCAATTTGAGCTCTCAGGAGGACTGAATTGATGCTGGAGCTGGGGCAATTTGCACCAGCCAGAGATATTGGTAATTTCTTTTCCTGTGACTCAGAGACTCAATTCAAGTGACATTCCAACCTTTGCTGATAGAAGTTCTCGCCTATTAGGGCCCAGCTAAACATTCTGAAGGCTGAATACAGTGATTTTCCAGTCCTCAGTGCACAGCAGCCCAGGAACCAGGTCAGGTACAAGCTTTTGTGCCAGGGCAAAGCCCCCTGGCCACAGGGAGCTGTGAGAAATGCTTATTAAGGGCTGGCAATCATCTCTCTCCAGCACCAGAGGCTTCCTGACTCCTCTGGGAAGCAGGAATTCCTGGCTGGTGCAGCCACAAGGCCAAAGGAGCTCACACATCACAGACCACCACGAGGCAGCCACAACACGCAGGAACAGCCAGCCCTCAAAAATTGTTCACGCTGCTCCCAGCAAGGCAGTGCCACTGGGCTGCCGTGGGGCAGCTTTGCAGACCTCTGGAGCCATCTGAATTTTGGGGAGGGGAGGGCTGCTCACACCTGGGCTCAGGGTCTCTCTCTGCTGCCAGGCAGCCCTGCAGCTGCTGGGGGGGCTCAGAAAACACCGTGGTAGCTGTCACATCTGGGGCCAGAATTAGCTTCTGATCATTTGTTTGTTCGTTTTTAAACAAATATCTCCATCCTCACGGGCTTTAGTGGGATCCAGCTCCAGTGGTGGGAAGGAGAGACCACCCAGAGCTGGTGCCACCCACGTCAGGGTCTCCCTTTCCCAGGCAAACCCCCCACGGCAGCTTTGGTAACGGGTTTGTGAACAATTTTTAAGTTGGATATCTTTTATAACACATCTGCACTAATAAACATTTCTAACACAATTATGTATATAATAAAAATAGTCACAATAATCATAATCATCATCATAATTTGAGAATAAAACAAGAAAAGCTCGGTTTTCCTTACCTTTTTGGAAAGCAGGCAAAAGCTATACAGTAGGTGGAAGAGTGTACCAAGTAACAGACTTTTGAACACTCTTTCTTACTGGTGGTATGGAGTCTACAGGGAAATAAATACATTGAATGTAGGACAGGTCTGGGCACAGGAACACCCCCAGCCTGCCCTGCCTGAGTCCCTGCACTGTCTGGCCAGACTGGGGCACTGGGAGGCAGCAGCACAGGAAAGCAGCCCTGGGAGGCAGCCCAGGGGCTCAGCACCTCCGACCACCCAGCCAGGCTTCCCTTCCCCGCCCTGAACCAGCTCTGGGACATTCTGCATGTTCACAGCCCCTGGCCTGGCCTGGCCTGGCCCTCCTGAGCCCCAGAGTCACTCACGGGTTCCCTGGCATCACCAGCAGCCGTCTGAGGTTTTCCTCATTTTTTGGCTGCGTCACCAACAGCCGTTTGAGTGTTTTCCTCATGTTTTCCTCATGTTTTGGCTGTGTCACCAACAGCCGTTTGAGTGTTTTCCTCATGTTTTCCTCATGTTTTCCTCATGTTTTGGCTGCGTCACCAACAGCCGTTTGAGTGTTTTCCTCGGGAAGGGGAAGGAGTAATTACAGTGAATCCCAACCGAAGTTAAGTGTGGGATCTCTCCCAGTCTGACACTGCTCTGGCAGCACGAACTGGAGCAGAGAGCCCAGCGGGGCACTCCACCTCAGGCTCCACCAGGGAGATCTCCCCAGGGTGTGGAATTCCAGCACACAGAGCACAGCACACCGATGCCAGGGCCCAGGTCCTGCCCGTGCCAGCCGTGCCCCAGCAGGGAAAGCCGTGCAGCGAGCGGCAGCAGGCACACGCCAGATGGCAGACAGGAATGCCTAAGAGACTTCTCCTAAATGGCTTGGAAGGCTTGGCCCCAACCCATCCCTTTCAGCCTGGAAGGCTCCCAGGGTGGCCGGGGGCTCAGCCTGTGGCACTGCTGCTTCCCCAGAGATCCCAGGCCAAGGTCTCAGAGCCAGCCCGTTCCCCCGGCGCTGGGAGGTGATCTCTCTCCTTTCCAGGGCTCTCCTCCCATGGCAATCGGTGCCTTCTTCGGGACTCACTCCAGACCCCTCTCCCAAGTGCTTGGCACGTTCTTTCCTGAGCCTAAATTCCAGCAGATTGCCCCAGAGTTGTGAGCAGTGGTTCCATAGGAAGCCTCTCAGGAGTTCACAGACTTCAGCCTGACGTGCACATCTTCAGCCCTGCCACAGAGGGTCTGAGCTGGAGGAGACCCCAAATCCCATCAGTGCCACCCTGCCATGGCAGGGACACCTCCCACTGCCCCAGGTGCTCCAGCCTGGCCCTGGGCACTGCCAGGGATCCAGGGGCAGCCCCAGCTGCTCTGTTCTTTTAACGATCTGCTAAAACCCGGAGATTTTTTCAAGGCTACTTCTCTGTAAAACCACCCACATTTTGCCTGTGGTTTGCCTGTGGCCCGTGATCAGGAGAGGATAAATGCAGCTCAGCCCCCAGATTCCAGATTCCCAGTGGCTGGGGGCACACGGGGCTCAGGGGGCACGGGGACACAGGAGCACCCAGGGGACACCCAGTGGAGCAGAAATGGCACCCGCAGCACCCAGCAGCTGAGCAGGCACGGGCAGCCCCTGAGCCCCAAAACCCAAGAGCAGAGCCCGGTGCCCTGCAGAGCCCGGGCTGAGCCAGGCTGGGTCCCAGCCCACCCTTGGGTCCCAGCCACCCTGGGCTCTGTGCCCTGCTCCTCGAGGGGCACCCAGAGCCAAACCCACCCTGCCCAGAGCCACGGGAGAGGAGCAGAGCCACCCTCGCGACGAAATACTGAAAACACATCCCTCGGTCTTCGTCTGAGCCAAGATATTCGAGATTCTTTTAAAAATTGCTCCAGGAATTGCTGCATCCAGGGCAATTTGTAATTCACATTTCCTATTTTCTCATTGCTAAAACTGCTAAATGTCCCTATTCACAGTATAAAATATTTTTGAAGTGAAATGGCTATAAAAACATCAAACCCATTTTTATGTACGAACACCATACTCAAAACTTCACTGAAAATTAAGTTTGAGGAGCTTTGCTTGGATGTTAGGACTTTTTTTTTTTAAGCCCACTAATACAATTTTCATTTTTTTCAACTAAAAATGGAACTGTAAACAATTTTAATTCAACAGAATATTCAAACTTTAAAAAAGAAGCTGGGTTCAGGTGGTCAGTGAGCTACTGTTACATGCAGTCATGGCTGCTGCCTGACCAGAGGCTGATCAATAAGCTGATCAATAACCTAATCAATGCTACAGAACAGCGACTGGAGCAGTTACACTGGGACTAATGCACCCCAAAACTTGTAAAACTTTCATTTGGATTTCTAATAACTGTTATGAACACACAGACCTGGGAATGAACAAGCAGCTGGTGCAGCTGAGACCATCAACAGAGGGAATTCTCTATCAATAATGAAAATGTTTTTAAAAAACACTTATTTCACAAATTATAAAAAAGGAGTAAAAGCTTATAAACCTGAAACTCAGAGACTGCACATTTCCTAACAAACACATTTATCAGCTTCAAAATCCCACTTGGCACATCTGGGCAAGCCAGGGGCCTCTGCCCCTTGTGCCCCTTAAAAACATGTTCTGGTCTACAGCCCTGGGCTGAAAATGGGGTGTTTGACCAGAAACATGGGGCTTTGGTGAGCAGCATTTATTTTTAGTAAAAATATTTCCCTCCCAAAACAAAATCTGGCTGCTCTTTGGTGGGAGGGGAGACTATTCTCAGAAGTCAGAAACCAGCAATAAGAGGCAGCACGGGAGGATGAGCGCAGGAGGGACCCTGGGGTGGGATGTCCCCAGGCTGGGCTTCCCACAGACAACACTGCAGCATCACAGCTTGGCTGCTTTTCTTTTTTGGTCAAGTTTTGGCATGAAATTCTCAGATTTTGGGTTTTGTGGGGGAGAAACTAATTTCAGCTTAGTTGATCCAAACTGTGGTTAGTGAAGTGCACCAGCAACACACTCCCCTGCCTTGGCCCAGCTGGATTTCAAATTCTCTTTTCCTCCCTTCCCTTCCTGGAATTTGCATTGGCAGAGGGCCCCAGTGTCACTGGGTAACCCCAGGGCAGGAATTCCATTTATTTCCTCCTGCTCCCAGGGCTCTGTCCACTACAGCTGCAAGGGGCCTCATCTCATTTGTGAGAACCACTTGGTGGTTCTGTCCATGGTTCTGCACCCCTGTCCAGCTGCCAAGGAGGAATTTCGTTTTTCCAGCTGGAATGTATTTTGTACAGCTGCACGATCAGACATCAGAGAGAAATCCTGCAGGGGTGAGCAGGGGGAGGAAAAGTGCTGCATCAGGGATCTGCTGCCTGCTCCCACTCTGCTCTGACAGCAGAGC